CAACAGGCTTCCCTTGATCAAATAGCCTGTGGTAGAGTAGACCTCGACCACCAGCTGTCTTTTATTGATCCCATCCCTAATCTTAACCCACAGGCTCTCATCCTGTTCCTGACTGTTTCTCAGAGAGAGCACCTTGCAGTCCATCCACCTTCTAACACAGAGGGCAACTCCCCCATGCCTCCTATTTTGTCTATCCATCTTCACAGCATAGGGCTTCTTACACGTTTTGTAAATGATGCCTGGTAGAATCACTACATGGCTTGACTTGTGAGGGATCTTAAAAGATCATTTACTTCCAACTACACCAAAGTTTCAGGAAATTACTGGTAGGGGTATTCATGTAGTCTAACTATAGATACTGAAATTTAAATTTCCAAATCCTAAGACAAATTATTACTTTAAAGGTGGATTGCAGGGAAAGAGGGGAGGGAGGGGCTTCACTTTCCAAAAGGGTCTGCCTAGATTTTGTTAAATTCAATTTTATTGGCAGATCTTGTTTCCCCTCAGCCTCTCCATTCGCAGTGCTTCTCAATGCAGGATCTGGAATGTGTGTCTATCACAGAGAAAAACTGGCATAGTTACACCCAAAAAATAGAAGCAAAAAAGACTGCGAGTTCACCTTATTAGGATGACTGAGTCTGAAACTCATTATTAATGGGCATAACTTATACCTCCATCTCTGCAGCCTACAGGACAAGGCCATTAGGGCATTGATGGGTGAACAGAGCTCTAAGGAACTCCAAATCAATTACATATAAAATACAGTTTCCTATCCTCAGGAGAGCCACTTCTCCCTACTCTGCAAGATTTAAGTGGAAGAAAGGGTGAAGCAGCTTGATCTATCTCTTCCGAGCTCACTATAAGATCACATATAGTTCCCCAAAGCATTGCCAGAGTGGGCAGCAACTCACTCAATTTTAGACGTCTGTGATACAGATATGTCATTTGAGCCACAAATTCTCCTCATACTTAATGGAGCAAATAAGCACTCTTAGGGTGTAGACTATATATTTCACCATCCTGCTTTAGGGTGAAATGATTCTCACCCAAGAATTGCCCATTTTTCTCTAGGAAGGAGACCCGATGACCATTTCTGATATTGAGGATGTCACTTGGTCAGTGAAATCCTGTTCTCAGAGCACAGAGAACCAAGAGATGGCAGAGAAGCAGAAGTGGTTAAAAAGAAGAGGAACCAAGAAACTGAAACGGATTAAAATGAGCGAGGAAGAGCAAACCTGCCTGATGGAGGCAGATGGTGAACTTGCTCTGTGTAGGCATTGCCTGCTGACTTGCGACCACATCCAACTGTCCATTTGGCAGCGCCTCCTTTCAGGACATGATGTCCAGGTGTTCCCTGCAGACAAGACTAAAACCATGAGTTCTGAGGTCTGCCATGCCCTTCTGAAAGGTGGAGATCAGCATTATTTAATAATTCAGGTGAGACTTGCTGTAAGTCTGGTGCATGATCTCAGAAGAGTCATCTTCTCTCCATCTCTGCTCCTCAAGATAAGGGGAGTCTCTGATCATGACAGGGTATATTATGACAATGGTAGCTTTTTTCTCTTGTTGACTATGATCCATAGGAACAGATCCCACTTGGAAGCAGTGTTGTGTATGTTTTCCTGGGCCTGGTGCAGCCAAACCCATCAGATCTCTCTTTGCCAACTTCAGCCAGAAAGAAGTGATAACGAAGCCTCTTTTGATAAGCCCAACACTTGCAGAAAAGACAGAAAGGGTCCTCTTATATCTAACAAAAAAACCCAAACAAACAACAACCAAAAAATAGAAATAAAAATTGCTCCAGGCTACAGAATCACTTAGATCTGGGTTCAGCTCCACGCTTCCCAGTTGGTTCTTATTCCTAGATAATAGGTTGAATGAAAAAGCTGCATCTAAGCAGATGGGATGGTAGAGGTTTTCCAATTCCTGGCTGTGCAGGCACATATGAGTAGAGGTCAAATAAAGAATTGAACATAAACCCAAGACAGGAGGGGCACTAACCTAAACAGAAAGGTTGAGGTCTTGTGTCTCCTTGAATAATGCAAGGAGCAAAATACCCTGTTACTAGCCTAGGGAGCAGACAATTAAAACACTACTTGAAGCAAATGTCTCCTGACTCTGGCTCAGAATTTCAATTAGTCTGGAAAGTCTTATTGCACTTAAGTGCAGGTTAGTGACATTTCAGAGAGGAGAGATTGATTGGGAGCTGGGTTACAGCTCAGCCAGTGGGGATCATGTCTAAGGGCCTGTCCTTAAAAAACAATGTGTGATCTCTGCATGGCATTTTCCTTGTTTAGCTCTTTCATGTCTCCTATGAGAATGCATAATCCCAGAAGCCAGAGCTATGTCCCTTCCTTTCAAACGCTGCCTTATTTTCTTTCTCATTTTCCTCTCATCTCTTCTTTCTGTTCATTTTTTTTCATTTCCAAGCAGTATTTCCTGTGCTTTTTTTCTTCCTCTTCAAGTTTCTTACCTTTTCTTGCCTCAAGAATTCATCTCTTACATCCAAGAAACTCTTTATCTGGCTTTGCAAAACCACATAAATCAGGAAAGAATCTTCCACTTTTTGTCTGTGATGGACAGTGACTTCTGTGTCACTGGATTTGGCAAACCACAGCAATATCACAGCAGTATCAGACAAATTACATTGGTAAGTATAATCAGCCTCTTTTCATCTGAGGGCAAATATCCTCAGCCAGTTAAAAAAATATATATGAAATATGGTAGACACCATGGAAACAAGTCCAATAACTGCTGTGCACAGGCAGGACTGTCCAACAGGTCCCTCTGAAGGGCCCTGCTGTGCCCTTTTAGATCTGCCTAAAATAACTGCAGTTGTGGGGATACGTGCATAAAATAGGAGGCAGAGAAATGGCTCCTAAGTACTAAGAAAGCTTTAGGAAAATTAACTTCCTTACATCAATAGCGTGTTGATGGACAAGCCTATTGCACACTGTACTGTAAGAATTATCTTCTGCTCAGAGATGGTGACTTTTTAACCATCATCAGTGGGATTTTTTGCCTGAAAAATTGATAAATTAATTTCTGGATCCACAGACACTTTGGTACTAGCAGTGACCTGTGATGAGATGTTCCATAGCTTCCTGATGCACTGTCTTGGCATGCTAGGCTCGCCTACAAATTAAAGAGCCCTGTTGAAAGGCAGTATATATTAGCTCAGTTGGGCAGTCAGCTGTCTACAAGAATTCTAGCTGGCCTGGAGACAGACTGCAAAGATAAAGCTTTTACAATGGCTGTTTTAATTGCACCCCTTCTGCAGCCACTATGGAGAGCAGTATGTGTTGGATTTGCTGGGCAAGGGAGGCTGCATGTCTCTGGTGGGCAGAGAATGTCTGCGAGAAAGTCCTATAACACAGAGACACTCAGAATCAATATTCGCTCTTTCAGTTTTTTCTATGGCCTCCAAAGATGCACATAATATCTGTATATAAGCATGTGTGTATCAGGAAAATGCGATTAAATACGAATATCCATTTTTTTTCTTTATTTTCTTTCTCTCAAATGGTCCTGGATAAAACTGCCATCGTTCACCCCCTCACTGCAGTTATCTCTCAGACACAGATTTCCATCAAAAAAGAGGTGATAGAATCATAGAATCGTTAAGGTTGGAAAAGAGCACTGAGATTTATCTAGTCCAACTGTCAGCCTATCACTATCATGTCCACTAAGCCATGTTTCTCACTGCCACGTTTCTTCAACACCTCAAGGGACAGTGATTCCAACACTTTCCTGGTCAGTCTGTTCCAATGCATTACCACTCTTTCTGAAAAGATTTTTTTCCTAATATCCAGCCTGAACATTTCCAGGTGCAACTTAAGGTCACTACCTCTCATCTTAGAACTAGGCAGAAGCTTTCTCCTCCAAAAGCAAACTCTAGCTTCACAAATTAAATCATGCTTTCTCTGCTATGCTCCCATCCACTGCCCATATTCGTTTTGTAGATCCTTCCCATCTATTTCTATGGAGGGTAGTGCCACATATGTGCCTCTAACCTCAAATATGGTCGGAAGATTTAGCAAAAGCCTTTCCAAAAAAAACATTTGGGAACGGACTTGATTGTGCTGAAAGGTAAATATTTGCCAAAGATGATCTTGCTGTGTCCTTTGGAGATCTGTGCACATAGAGGTTAAATTATGCTTGCTCTCTGCTTGGGAGCACAGAAACATAACGTGATTTTTTAATTTTTTCTTTCTTCAAAATGCTATTCTCTTCTGCCCTGATCAGCTTTGAGGAAGGCTTCATTGTCAGAGGAAAGTCTGTGTCATATCATTGCTCATCTTTTCCCCCAGAGCCACTCATGGGTCACACGAACCAAAATCACTTGGAAACAACCCTTGACCCTTGAAAGCATCCTGGAGGTCTTCAAACACCCCTTCAACAGATTGCTCCTCTTCACATCAGTGGAGTAAGATGGATTGATGGGGGATCTAGGGGGTTATTTTTTCTATGAATTATTTAGACTAGCAGGGTAATATTTCATTTTACACTGGCCTTGTTTTACGCTTGTAATTTTTAATTCTAATAATTCCACCTCTAGCAAGCAGAGACTCCTGAGAGCACTAGATTATATCTCAGTGGGCACACTCTCGAATGCATAAATAACCTCTCTGCTGACAGCACAAGAGGACAGGCTGGGCTTTCAGTGACGTTTCTTCCCCATCCCCCCCTCCAAAGTTCTCTTAAAGGAATCTTTATCTATGTGCAGCTATTCTGCAGCATGCTTCTGTTTTGTAGCAAAAGCACTATTTAAATGCAAATGTTGACTTTTTGCCAAGAACTGGAGGGAAAATACTCGGTCTAATGATATCCTTCCAAAAGAACAACTGGTGCTGTTTTAAAAGGAACCGCATCAGAAGGAGTCAGGATTTTGGGTCTTTGCTCTCCTAACCTCTTCTGCCAGTGCCTTCCTCTGCCCTTTGAAGACATGCCTCTATCGTATATTTGCAAGGAAATAAAAAAATAAAAAAAAAAACCCAACATTTTTTTTTATAATAACATTTTTATAGTACATGGTACATATAGATGTGTTTAAACTGGCTGAACTCAAAGTCTTTTGCTCAGATTCTCCCTTCCCAGTCTTCCCAAAGAGATCCAGCCACTCCAGTTCAGAATGTTCACTTTCTCCTTCCTCTGTTTCAGGACAGATGTTCCAGGTGTTAAATGCCTGGGTGAGAGTAAGGTAGCTATTCATACTTGTGTGGGAGGGAAAGTGGAGATTCAGACTCAGGATCTGGGTGTGAAGGAAAGGAGAGACAGGGTGAGTGAGAAAAGGAAAGTGTCTGGACCAGGGTGGCTATTTTTGTTTACTCTTTTGTACTGTTTGTCTCTGTTCCAGTGCTAATTATGATTTAGAACCCAAATTAGGAAATTCTTGCAAAGGTAAATAGCTCAATAATGCTGAAAAGTTAACAAAGTGGTGCTAAACAGGGAGAGGGAAACAACACAAATACTCAACAAATACTCCCACAAAAGTGGCTTTACCCGCAACCATAAGGCTCGCATCAAACATCCTGAGTTTCAATACATGGCTAATGCCCCCAACAGTACAGCTTTGTGTAAGAGAAGGAAGAGCTTAATGAAGCCAGGACTAGTCCTCAACCCACACATGCACTTCACCAGGACCAGACAGGGCAGGGGAATTGTATGGGGATATCACATCTTGCCTTGAATGGAGAGTGTTGGGAAGAGGATGGATGTGATGGAAGACTTGTCAACTATGAGAGCTGTATCACAAGCTGGGGATGAAACACAGGGCAGTGCAAGCTGTCTGTCAGTCTGTGTGATGCACCTCAGCCATAACAGCTTCTCACAGCCATCCCCTCTGTGTTGCTCAGGGCTTTGCAGGCTGCTGAGTTTCAGTCTGCTTTTATCTGATGTGGTTCAGTTACCAAGGAGACAACGATCTGTAAGGGGGAACCTTTGTGACATCTAGGGGAGGAAAGGCAATGCAGATCACTCAGGGGATGAGAATGGCCTGAGCTTAGAGCTTAGGAGTGAGGAAGCATGTGCCCTGGCCCATGTGAGGTGTCCCAGGCAGGCTACAGTCCTAAGGCTTGCAAAGCACTTTTTAAAATGAAATCAATTCAACTGTGAGTTGAGAAAGAGTCTGCCTTATCTCAGCATCAACTGGATATTCATGTCCAATGGGAAACGCAACTTATTAAAGTTAGAAATCCTTTGTTGGCCTGATCCAGTTGCCTACAAAGTGTTAGTGGTCAGGTCCAATGGTTCAAGACTCATGGCACTGGAAAAAAAGCCACCAGGACCCATGTTGCCCCTGCTGTCCCCAGTGAGCCCATACAATCAAACAAGACTCTCAGCATCCTCTGCCTAACAACATCCAGCTGTAACACTGAATGAAAAATGGACCCCTTGCATAACATCACCTCATCCCCAGTGAACCAACAGGGAATAATTCTCCTTGAATCAGAGCTAATAACTTATAGTGGGGTAGGAAGTTTTAGCAGCTGTCCTCCAGTATCCACAGTCTGCTTTTTTTCCCTCACTTTTCATGGCCCAGGTATCCTTCACCCTGCCTAGATATTTTTTCAGGCTTGGCTGGAATTGAGAGGTGCAGCATGAAGGGGATGCTGTGCCGCACTGAAGGTCAGAAGAGACACATCTCCAAACACGTGACTTGTTGAGGACAAATAAACCCTTGACTGGAGCACTGCAGCTCTTGTTATTCCTGACTTGTCTTTAGCAATCACTTGCTGCAAAGCACAGGAAAGCACTGAGCCAGCACAATCCTGTTCCTTCCTTTCTGCTGTAACACAGCAGCTTGGAAAAGCTCCCTCCAACAGGCAGAGCCACCGGCAGATGGGGTACTTCTTCCCCATCTTCACCTGATGATCAAATTATAACCTTGAAAGATGAGCGCTGAGGGACCTTGTTAACTAGCAGGAGATTGTTTAGCGAGCGCCTGCAGAAGTGGATTAAAAACCAATAACTCACAGGAAGGCCCTTCCTCTAGCAGCTAGGAAAGAGGGAAAAAATATTTCAGTCCTATATATTCTCTTCTCCTGGGGAAGGCTCCATAGCTGAAATGTCAGATTTAATTTCTTTCCAACATGGATTTTGCAAATAACTCCTTTGCTTCTTTTTAAGTTCAGTGGCTAATATGTCGGAGCACTGACAGTCTCCTGCAATGATTTAATGGAAGAGAAAATATGCTTCTCCCGTGTCACCTTTTAAAAGCACTCAGCACAAAGGAGACTGTAAAGGAAGACACACTTGAGATGTAGTGACCCCACAACAGGTAGCCAGGGTTGCCCAAGACATAGCTGTCCCCCCTTCCTCCTTTTTGTATTGACAGACATAGGAAAGCAGGGCAGGGATGGGATTATCGTGAGCGAACATAGCTTTTAACCAGCCAGGAGAAATCAATATCCCTTTAAATCTGAATTTCTGTTTTTAACAGATTTCAAAGGGAGACATGAGCTCCAAGAGTGCTGGCAGTGTAGCAATGAGCCAGCACAGTGAGCATGTTCGATTAGCAGATTTTGTACTCTTTTGTAATCACCCCAAATTCACCTGATGACCAAACCCACAGTACATGGGAATAAACCTTCTGGACAGGATGTGGTGGTCCCTCTCTGGTTATGAGAAACAGATTTATTAGGGCTGGACAAGGTTGCATATCTTGCTCAAGAAATGGACCGACCTACCCCTGTCTTATTCTGGTTCTGGTTCATGGAATCATAGAATCATAGAATCATTGAATCATTAAAGTTGGAATAGACCTTTAAGATCATCTAGTCCAACCATCACCCTATTACTACCATACCACTAAACCATGTCACTCACTGCCACATCTACCCTTCTTTTGTAAACCTCCAGGAATGGTCACTCCACCACCTCCCTGGGCAGCCTGATCCAATGCCTCTCCACTCTTTCTGAGATGATATTTTTCCTAATACCCAACCTGAACCTCTTCTGGCACAACTTAAGGCCATTATCTCTCGACCTGTCACTGTTACCTGAGGAATGAGTCTGACCCCCACCTCACTGCAGCCTCTTTTCAGGGAATTAGAAAGTAATAAGGTCTCCCCTGAGCCTATTCTTCTCCAGACTAAACAATCTCAGTTCCCTTAGCTGCTCCTTGTAAGACTTGTGCTCCAGGCCCTTCACCAGCTTCCAGTTCCACTGCTCTTTTTTGGATGCATTGTGATTGCTGAATCTTAATAGATCAACTTAGAAATGGTTGGAGCCAGTAGCACAGCTTATTTCAGATTGATTTGGAGCTAGACCATAGGATGTGAACAAGGGTTCTATAAATAACAAACAAGACTGTTTTTTTTTTTCACTAACTGTATCTATCTATGGTTCTCAGAGCAGCCATATAGTGCAGCTGTGATGAAAGGAGGCCTATAAAGCTTATTTTCCCCAGCACAAAATTTCAGCTGATTCTGATGCATAACACACCAACTGCCAACTTGAACAACAGTGTTGGAAAACCACGCTCCAGCAGTAGTCACCCCATGCCTTTGGAACACTGAGCAATCAGGATCTCCAGTATGAAGATGATTTTCCAACACCTCCTTGACCCTGTTGTGCTGAGAGTTTGCTCAAGAGCAGGAAAAAAAAAGGCCGGGGGTGTGTGGAATATCATCTAATGACCAGAAAGGTCAAGTCTTCATCAAAGAAGGGGGCAGAGATGTTATATCAGAACATTTTATAGTAAGGGTTCCCTGAAACACTAACCTTTAGCTAATTAAAATATTTTCAGACCCAAAGACAGCTGGATTTTGCTATGTTTTTGCATGAAAGAAGAAAGATAGAACCAAATGCTCTTGGTGAGACATTCCGACTAGACCTCTTTTGAGAGGATACAAGAAATGGGAGCATATCACTGCTGGGGGAATTTTGAGGGAATTTTTTAGATAGGCAGGAAATTTTTATACCATTTTCTTCAAATGTGTGGAAGTATTTCCCCATGTTTACTTGGATTTCTGGTGCCCTGAGAATGAAAAAAGCATCCTCAAGCTCCCTGAGGCTAAAGCAGATTTCTCTAAAAATCACAGAATCATAGAATTTCCTGAACTGGAAGTGAGCCATGAGGAACATCGAGTCCATCACCCGGTTCCACACAGGATCACCCAAAATCCAAACCCTATGTGTGCGTGCTTGGGGCCATGCCCACTGGCCTGGAGAGCCCATTCCATGCCCACCACCCTCTGATGAAGAACCTCCTCCTAACCCCCACCTGACCCCCTCCTTTGACACATCTCCGTGATGCTCCCTTGGGTCCTCTTGCTGTGACCAGCGAGCAGAAATTAGTTAGCCAGCTGCCAGTCACCACGGGTGAGTTGTAGGTCTTTAGCCACCATGAGGCAGCTGTAGGCTGCCATGAAAGGGCTGTAGGCCACCATGAGGCCTCCCTTCATTCTCCTCTTCTCTGTGCTGAACAACCCTAGGGACCAAGAAAACTCCTCATACATCTTGCCCTCTAGAACCTTCCCCATCTTCCTAGCCTTCCTTTGAATGATCTCTAATAGTTTTATGTTTTTCTTATATTGTGGTGCCCAAACTGCACCCAATGCTTGAGGTGAGGCTGCACAGTGCAGAGCAGAGTGAGACAACTCTTTTTTCCCTTCATCCTCAGAGAACACTTCCACTATGCCTGAATAGAAAAGCAGGCATGGATAAATAGATGGATATTGCAAGTGAAAAAAAAAAGATAAAATGAAAGGAGAAAATGAAAGAAATCAAGAAAGGAAGAGCCCATCAGTGGTGGCAGGAGCAGCTGCCTTTGCAGATCTCCGGCTCAAATGCTTGTCTTCTGTTTGCCTGCATCTTCCAGAGTGAGAGCAGCATCTGCTTGCAGGAACGCAGCACAGCCGAGCGGAAAAAAAGGTCAACTGCTTTCCCTGCATTCCCCTCTAGGTTGGAAGCAGGGAGAGCTCTCTCTGGCACTGCACGGTACCTCAGAGCTTCTTTGGTCTCATCTTCTCCCCTGATGAATATTCCATTGGGCCACATGAGGACACAAAGGCAAAGACCCCTCCAGGCCAGCGTGTAGAGCAAGAAAGCAAAAGAGAGACGAGCTGCACGCTCCTATTCACCCTTATCTCCTGGAGAAAAAGAAATCCAACCAGTCAGTCCCTTCCCCATGACCTGAGCTCACCCTCGGGTCTGAGAAACCTTATGGGTTGTGACACAGGAGATGAGGATGCTGAGAACATGGAGGTGACACTGCATAAGTTCAGTGTCCTGTCAGGAGTATGCTATCTTTTCCTGCTCTGTTGACTCCATGTAACAAACTCATTCCTGACTGTGTTTAACCATATTTTTAAGATGTGGTGTTCAAGAGTTCAGAGCAAAACCCCACAAACATATTGACCTGAGATGGTCACAGTAGAGATTTGGACCCTTCAGCTGTCTCCAGGCTTCACGGGATGACCACAGGGATGAATACACACCCTCAGACCTGGCTTTCACACACAGGCCCAGCCTCCAGCTCACTCATTGCTCCATCTTTTTGCACCCACTGCCAATCACCCTGCTCTGCTCACTGTAGTCTGCCTCTGCAGTGGCATCATAGTAGTCCTTTCCCTGCATGTCCATGCTTTGGGGAACTGCATTAATTCCCTAGAGCCCTCCAAATGGTAGAAAATCAGAGATCCATCTCTAAATGGCCTCCAGATCTCAGCTACTCCCAGGTCACCAGTAGGTGAAGACTTTCTAGCTGGTCATAGATTGCATAGCCACTTGCTAAGTTCGTGCCATAGAATCATAGAATTGTGAAACCATAGAATGGATTGGATTGGAAAGGACCTTAGAGATAATCTAGTTCCATCCCCCTGCCATGGGCAGGGTTGCCACCCATTAGATTAGGCTGCCCAGGGCTGCATCCAACCTGGCCTTTGAATGTCTCCACAGATGGGGCATCCACAATTTCTCTAGGCAACCTATTCCAGGACCTCACCACTCTCCAAGTAAAGAATTTCTTCCTAACATCTAACCTAAATCTACTCTGTTTTAGTTTAAAGCCATTCTCCTTTGTTCTGTCACTATCTGTCCATGTAAAAAGTCACTCCCTCTTCTGCTTATATGCTTCCTTCAAGTACTGGAAGGTCAGAATGAAGTCTTCCTGGAGCTTTCTCTTCTCCAAGCTAAACTAGTCCAACTCCCTCTACCTTTCTTCACAGGAGAGGTGTTCCAGACCTTTGAGCATCTTTGTAGCCCCCTCCTACAGCTCTGCATCCTTCTTGATCTGGGGGCCCCAAGGCAATACCTCATGGGGTCTTATGAGGGTGGAGCAGAGGGGAACAATCACTTCTCTCACCCTGCTGGCCACCCTTCTTCTGATGCAGTTCAGGATACAGTAGGCTTATGGACTTGGGATCCAAGCAGGTTTGGAAACCAGATTACTCACAGTCCTGAAGGATATCTACTTGGGCCGAGAAAAGCATCCCAGACATCCCCATACCATCCGCTCCCTGCATCCACTATTTCACATCACTTGTCGATGCAAAGGAAAAAACATCCCCTTTAATGTCCTAAGCTGGCCACGAGCAGCACACCAGGGACAGATTTGAGGCCTGCAGGAAAGAAAACATCTCTTTACACCCCGAGCAATGGGAGAGCTTTCTTTCAGAGGA